ACTTTTGCTCTCCTTCCCGAGTCCGCCAAAAAAACAATGGACAAGATATCAAAATACATGCGTGTCGACTCCAACTATGCTCAATATCGAGTTCACCTTTCCACTCTCAAAGACAGATGTGTCCCCTTCGTTTCTGTCATTGGTAAGGATTTAACCTTCATTAACGATGGCGCCAAAGCAACTTTCGAGATCGAAACGGGCGGCGAGAAGTGTCAAGTCATCAACTTTGCTAAGCATCAACTCTGTAATGAGAAGGTCATTGATTTCCTTCGATTCCAGAATTATCCGTACACCTTCCCTGTGGTTCAACCGTTGTATCAGTATATCTCAAACCCCATCTTCTTCGATGAAAACTCTCTTTACGATTTATCCTTACTCTATGAGCCAAGACAACAAAGGTAAATTACTTTTTCTTTCATTTTTGTTCGCCCAAATGCAACAAAACAACTAACAAAATCACTCAAAGTAATTTACCATTTTCCTTGAAAATCAAACGACTGATTTGGGGTGCTCCAGAAAGTTTCTTGTGAGGCGACAGGTGGGGTTTTTCTTTGTTTAGAAAAGTCGAGTTTCGAGAACAAGTCACCGGTGTCATTCGATGACTTCGATGTTGACTTTGTCGATGCTTTCGGAGCTTCACCGGTGTGGAACTCCCCAGAAAAATCAAACAATGCTGGGGACACACTTGCGCTTTTGACCTCGCCAATTTTGTTCTGTTGAGTTGTCTTTTGGGGTTGTGGTGACGACGATATGACGACATGGTTTCTGCTTGGTGTTCCAAAATCGATTATTGTGTTTTTCTTCTCTGTTATGACACTTTTGCGTGTTGTGTCCTCAAACGAGAACAAGTCCATAGAATTCGTCATATTGGAGTTTTGTGGCGATTTGCTTTCTTTTAAAGGTTCTTGAAAATTAAAGAGATCAGTGGATGTTGTCAAAGGCGTTTTTGCCTTTGGTGCTTCGACGCCAATTTCGAGTAAGTTTTTAGAAGGTGGTTCCGATGTTGTTCGCATCTCTTTCTTTTCGCCAGTAATGTGTTGCTTGATCGGGGCCTTCAATGTGTCGTCGGCCTGTGTCGGCACATCTTTGACGTTATCCCAAAAGAGTCCAGCAGACTTCGATTGCATTGGTTCCGCACTTTTAATTTGCGCAGGAACTGGTTTTAAGACGTCGTCTGTGACTTCAGCGACTTGGTCCTTCTGACCGACCAAATTGGCGTAAGGATTTGGTAAGTTAAGTTCTTTCGCGAGAATGTCCATGATCTGGAACACCGAGATACGCTCAGCAGGGTCGACCACAAAGATTTTTGTGAAAAACTGCGTCACCTTCTCGCTGAAATTTGCGTTTGGCACAGAGTATTTACAGAACTGAATTTTCATTGGTGACTCTTCAAATGGGGTGTCGAAGTAACACAATTTGAATAAGACACACCCCAACGCCCACACATCCGCTTTCCGTCCAATTGGTTTGTAATCGTACAAATTAATCATCTCAGGCGCTCTGTAAGCCAGTGTTGTGTATTTTTGGATATTCTCGTCAATACCTGGGCAGTCTCCTCTCTTTCTGTTATAGAAAGCGCTTTCTGGTACAACACTCCCAAAGTCCGTTAACAAAAACTTTTTGTTTTTAAACAACACGTTTTCAACTTTCAAATCTCTGTGGCACAAAGGCGGATTCTGTGAATGCATGTACGCAACAGCGTGACACACTTGATAAAATATCCGAAGAACTGCGTCTTCTTTGATAGGATGTGGGTATGATCTTTCCAAGACATTTATGGTAGAGACCGGGCAATAATCTAATAACATGACGACCTTTCGCTCGGGTTCTTGAAATATACAACTCCTTCCAATAAATTCATGGTTATAACATTTTCATACTTGTAATAACAAACTCAATAAGGGGAACGACGTATTCATTTTTAGTTAATAATTTGTGTACTTCGATCTCCTTCTTGATTCTTTGTAAATCAGTTTGGTCGGCATAGAACATCACTTTCATTGCATACTCGCGATTCGTCTCTTGAGACTTTGCAAAGTATACTTGTGAGAACCCTCCCGACCCCAACTTGCGCTCTACAAACACTTGTTCACGGCCAATGGTGACAACGTTTCCCATTGTTTTTGTTTATTAGTTCGTCCTTTTTTTTCGTTCTTTTTAGAAGTTTCCTTCGTTTGAAGCGAATTGGGAAACAAGAACCATTTTCGGTCTTTTTAATTGATTTGTTGGGGAAGTTCCTTTGTTTTTCTCGTTATTCTCCGTTTCTATCCCAAAATTGAATTATTATGTGTTTTTGATTATCTACAAGTTCTGAAATGAATAAAAATGTGTTTAAAAAAATGTCGAAAAACCCCCTCTTGTTTCTTCTTTTTCATTTTTACAGAATTTGTGTTTCCATTTAAGAGTAATGAAAACTATATAATATAGAATTATAACTATTAGTATATGGTTAAACCAACAAACAATAAAATGGATTTAAAGAACTTGCCCAATGTACGAGCATGACTTAATATCTCCTGTTTTTCCAACACCAATAATATCAGCAAGTTCCTCACAAAATTCCGTCTCTGCTCCGTTGAGATAGATCGCAGGGTTATCTCCTCCATAAAACGAGAATATCCCATCAATCAACTTACTGTCGCCCGTCTCGGAGTATACGATGAGAGAGTCTGAGTTCTTTACTATGACATATTCTTTCGTTTCAACATGGATGGTGATCAGCCCGCACTCATTTGTTGACAACAAAACATTCTCCCCCATCTTACGGAAAGCATATTGAAAGTTGTCGCAATCCTTTTGAATGAGGACTTTAGTCATCTCATCCAACTCGAATTCCTTGAACTCGGGGTAGTCGTAATACGCTTCGTCTAATACTCCATCGTTAATGGCTTTCTGGATGATCGTTTCTTTGTCTTCGCTTGTGTCCAAAAACTGGAGCGCCTTTTTGATTCTGTCTGGTGTAATACTGTTCCCAGACAAGTCCCGCTTTGTCGTGCATATGATGTGTATTAAATACTCCTCATCAAACACAAACTGTAACGAGGAAGACGCTTTGATTACTTCAACCTGCTCCGGGGCGACTCGAGCACCACTCTCAACCACTTTTTCAACTAACGCAAATACAACCATCTCGCGCTTATTCGTGAATTCCTGGTTTTGCGACACTTCGATGATGTCGATTTTCGAATTTGAGATAAACATGGAGATGAGGTCCTCTTTACTCTTATTGAAGAAGGTGTCTAAAATAGCCTTATGAGCCTCCTTCCCTCTGAAGTCTTGTGTGCAAAATGTTTTTAAAATGTTTTCGATGTTAATGTCTGGGTATGTTTGACTGTTGAGGTTACCTCTGAGTATGATTTCTAATTCTCGTGGAAGTGAGTTGTACAATATTTGGTCAAATTTCATCTCGCCTTGTTGTGTAGTGACGTCAATGCCCGCCCAATTCAAGATGTCTGGTATTGGAATACCAAATAGAGCTAATCTACTGATCACTATAGGTAATTGGTATATACTATTTTCCCAACACCGTGCTCCATTTAAAAATCGAACAAGAGTTGAGACAAAAGGTTGTTGGTCAGGATCAACATCAACGTCTATATATAACTCATCCCCAACATTTTTAGTCCGCTGGATCTCAAACTTCGAGTTAAGTCGGTATAACTCGAATTTCTCCTTTTCAATAGTGACGGTGTTAATGCGCTGGATGAAAGAAACGTTCACCTTCTTGTACGGCAATGAGCTTATGTTCTTCCCCTTTCGTAAAAGTGTGTGTTGCATTTCGACCAAGATAATTCAGTTCTTTGATCTAAAAAACTTTGAATTTTGAAACTTTTTCGAAAGAAAGAATTTTTAAAGACAATCAATTTAGAATGGAGACTTGTCAAACATCACAACCACTGACTCAAACCTCAATCGTTCTCCCAGAAAAGTGTGTTCTGTTTCAAAGCGACGGGTCCGGTGGGGTGTATTTTCATGATAAAGAATTCAACGACATCTTTCAATTTCTTCCCAACCACCAAAACCCTCTCAAACTTAAACACCAATTTGACAACGCAATTTTGTTTGCTATTACCTCAAAAGCACAGGCGTTTGTGTCGCCAAAAAATAAGAATTGGATTCAAGTCAAGTCAGAAACAAAAGGTTCTTCTGTTGTTATAAAAACTAATGACGACCCAGTACTCATTCACTTCCTCTCGGACAAAAATTTGTTGGTTGTTGGGTCGTGTTCCGTTTCTATATATTCGACTGTTACACAACAGAAAATAGATACCCTGCAGACTCAACGACCATGGAAATGTGTACATTATAAAAACATAGTGGTAATGTTGTTAATAGAGAAAAATGCGTTACAGGGAAATATAGTAAGATGCTCGGAAACTGTTTCGCAGTTCGCGCAAATTGAAATTCCACACCCAGAAAACACGCCCATATTCCCAAATGTGTCGATAATCACCATTTTCGATGTGCCGTACCTCTCTGTCGACTTTTCCAATGCCAAAGTCTTCCTCTTCGATCTTTCCAACCCAACGAGTCTTGCAAAAGTGTATGAAGCGCCTGTAGGGGACGTTCGCGTGTTGTGTGTAAACAATGTTCTTGTCATCGCAAACAAAGAAGTTTCTTATTGTTACTCTCTGTACTCGAATTACCGAATAAACAGTCTGGCAAATGAAAAAAGTGTCTCAAACACACCCACCCCAGTGATGGCAATCAATTTTAACATTGAAAAGCCAAACTCAATACTCAGGTTTGGGATCAACATCACACCAACACTTTTTGTGACCAACAACATCTGTGTCGACCCTTTCTTGAAGAAGTTTGAGACACTCAAATTTGACTTTAAACTACTCGAACAAATGCTACAGTTTTATGATGACGAATTGGTTAGCGCTACTGCCAAAAAGTTCACACTGTTTTATAGAAACTACGAAGACGCCATTTGTGAAGATGTTTTGGTTACATGTGGTGCGGCGAAGTGTCCATTATGGGACGTTGGAATCATGTTGAGTGAGGTTGTGTGTAATCCTCACACCACCTTTCCGCTCATTCGTGCAATCCGGGCGCTGACCCGAAATGCAAATGACCCAAGTTATACCGTGTGTGTATACATTGAGTCTGCGCGCGCAGCTGCGCAGTCCGACGAGGGGTCTTTGGACAAATTGGTTCAGTCTGATTTAGCCAAAGAGTTAAATAAATTGGAGAGGTATGATGTTCTGAGGGATTTCCTTCGTCACCACATCATTACAGACAACACACAAGTGGCTTTCACACTTACAAATTCGACAAATGAGACAATTCAAGGGTATGGCTATGATATGCTGAAACGACTTGGAGACTTCAAAGCGCTTATTGATTGTTTGCTGTGCAAAGGCAAAATCGTTGATGCACTAAGACTAGCAAAACAAAAGAATATTACAATTGACAAAGAAGTTATATGGCAAGCCTTAGCTTGTTTCAAGTCGGACCCTATTCAGTACCAACTCCAGTGGTTCTTTTTAGACAACAAGTGAGTAAGTATTTGTTTGTAATTTCAGTGTACACTCAACTCTCGAGGTCAACATGAATAGGACTAAATTATAAAACCATTCAATCGTTTAGCACAACTTGGAGTGTTTGAAATCGTCACATTTCACTTTCACATCGACAGGTGTAAGACCAATCACATCTGCTATTTGTTGTTGAAGATTCCCGTCCATTTGATTATAAAAATCACATAAATCGCCGTCTATGACACCCTACATGGTTATATACCGTACTTCTGATTAACACAAATAACAAACAAAAGACGGGTAACACGACCCCCTATACATATCAAAACTGTTCGACAACAGTGGATTAAAGTTCTTCTTGATACTTGTTTCTAAATTCACAAAGAACTCCGCCTCATTTTTGAAATTCAGTGGCACCAAAACACCAATTCTCCCCATTAAACACGAATACACTATCACCTTCTTATTCTGTCGAAGTACTTCCTCTGCTGTTGTTGGCTCATCTTCAGGTAGATTCCCTTTCCAGATCTCATTCACAGAAACAGAAGTGACAACATCACCAACATACCACTGAACAACTTCCTTCACCCGGTCTAAAAAGCCAACTTCGTCATTCCCAAGTTCCCAATCAATTTCGGTGATAAACAAACTGCCATACTTGTCAAAGCCTATGGTCGTTTGCTCGTCGAGAATTGTCGACGAAGTGAGTGAGTGCCACACCTTATCTTGATCAACTACCTTTAAAATGTTTGCCTCGACATCATAATCCACATACACAAATCCAGAAGCCACAGTGCTCAACACTATTTTGTTGTTGGAAACATTGATCCCATTGATGTCGGAAGGGATCCCACCGACCTCGCACCGCCGAATCAATATCTGTTTTCCTAAATCGTACATTCGCAGTGTTGTGCCAATACCAGCAAGCAACTTCCCTTCAAACGCACAGAGCGCTCGGCACACAGACTCAACTGGGGTCTTATGGATTTGGTTGAAATTGATTGCATTATACACCACTATCCAACACTCGCCCGTGTTCTCTTTGTAGTCATGAACAAGTGAACACACAAAGCATCTCTTTGTCGTCTTGAAAAAGACGTGTGCACCACAGACAATCGCGCCTTCAGTCTTAATTGACGAATTGTATCCAGTGTGTTCGATTATTCCAACCTCACTCCCCCACACACCGTCTTCCTCTAAATTCACTCCGATTTTTCGCTCCTCAAAATCATTGTTTTCCCCATTCAGAAGTGGGGTATAGACTTTACACCTGTTGTCGCCACAAATCACTGTTGTTGGGAATTCCATCGTCTTAATAACCTTTCGAGGTGTAAATAAAAGCGGTTGGTCCATTGTTGTGAATTTGTCCTCAAGTGACTCAAACGAAATCACTACCATACTCTCATCCGTAATACCAGCAAGAGAGTCCCCAGCAAAGTCGGTCACAAACGAAGCTACTGCGCGAATTGGTTGGTATGAAATTGGTGTGAATTCCATGCGCGATAAATAGGAATAGACAAACAACATGGTTGTCGACGAAACAACTATCCCCTTAGTACCAAACACTTCAACTTCACTCAAATTGACTTCTTCACTCCCAACAGTCTTTACCCATAAATCCTCAGCTTCACTTCCTTTGATTCTAAACCCATAACACACCCCATCCGTTGTTCCAATCCCAAGAAACAAACACGGCTCTGCCAAGTCTTCAAAGTTTGTCAAAACCAATGATGATGGGACGCCTTCTATACTCAAGTTGTTTGAAAG